GTCATGCCTTTCAGGCGTCTCATCGTCATGCCTGTCAGGCGTCTCATCGTCATGCCTTTCAGGCGTCTCATCGTCATGCCTTTCAGGCGTCTCATCGTCATGCCTGTCAGGCGTCTCATCGTCATGCCTTTCAGGCGTCTCATCGTCATGCCTGTCAGGCGTCTCATCGTCATGCCTTTCAGGCGTCTCATCGTCATGCCTTTCAGGCGTCTCATCGTCATGCCTTTCAGGCGTCTCATCGTCATGCCTGTCAGGCGTCTCATCGTCATGCTCAGGCGTCTCATCGTCATGCCTGTCAGGCGTCTCATCGTCATGCCTTTCAGGCGTCTCATCGTCATGCCTTTCAGGCGTCTCATCGTCATGCCTGTCAGGCGTCTCATCGTCATGCCTTTCAGGCGTCTCATCGTCATGCCTGTCAGGCGTCTCATCGTCATGCCTTTCAGGCGTCTCATCGTCATGCCTGTCAGGCGTCTCATCGTCATGCCTTTCAGGCGTCTCATCGTCATGCCTTTCAGGCGTCTCATCGTCATGCCTGTCAGGCGTCTCATCGTCATGCCTGTCAGGCGTCTCATCGTCATGCCTGTCAGGCGTCTCATCGTCATGCCTTTCAGGCGTCTCATCGTCATGCCTTTCAGGCGTCTCATCGTCATGCCTGTCAGGCGTCTCATCGTCATGCCTTTCAGGCGTCTCATCGTCATGCCTGTCAGGCGTCTCATCGTCATGCCTTTCAGGCGTCTCATCGTCATGCCTGTCAGGCGTCTCATCGTCATGCCTTTCAGGCGTCTCATCGTCATGCCTTTCAGGCGTCTCATCGTCATGCCTTTCAGGCGTCTCATCGTCATGCCTGTCAGGCGTCTCATCGTCATGCCTTTCAGGCGTCTCATCGTCATGCCTTTCAGGCGTCTCATCGTCATTACTGTCAGGCGTCTCATCGTCATGCCTTTCAGGCGTCTCATCGTCATGCCTGTCAGGCGTCTCATCGTCATGCCTTTCAGGCGTCTCATCGTCATGCCTGTCAGGCGTCTCATCGTCATGCCTGTCAGGCGTCTCATCGTCATGCCTTTCAGGCGTCTCATCGTCATGCCTGTCAGGCGTCTCATCGTCATGCCTTTCAGGCGTCTCATCGTCATGCCTGTCAGGCGTCTCATCGTCATGCCTTTCAGGCGTCTCATCGTCATGCCTGTCAGGCGTCTCATCGTCATGCCTTTCAGGCGTCTCATCGTCATGCCTGTCAGGCGTCTCATCGTCATGCCTTTCAGGCGTCTCATCGTCATGCCTTTCAGGCGTCTCATCGTCATGCCTGTCAGGCGTCTCATCGTCATGCCTTTCAGGCGTCTCATCGTCATGCCTGTCAGGCGTCTCATCGTCATGCCTTTCAGGCGTCTCATCGTCATGCCTTTCAGGCGTCTCATCGTCATGCCTGTCAGGCGTCTCATCGTCATGCCTTTCAGGCGTCTCATCGTCATGCCTTTCAGGCGTCTCATCGTCATGCCTTTCAGGCGTCTCATCGTCATGCCTGTCAGGCGTCTCATCGTCATGCCTTTCAGGCGTCTCATCGTCATGCCTTTCAGGCGTCTCATCGTCATGCCTGTCAGGCGTCTCATCGTCATGCCTTTCAGGCGTCTCATCGTCATGCCTTTCAGGCGTCTCATCGTCATGCCTTTCAGGCGTCTCATCGTCATGCCTGTCAGGCGTCTCATCGTCATGCCTTTCAGGCGTCTCATCATCATGCCTTTCAGGCGTCTCATCGTCATGCCTGTCAGGCGTCTCATCGTCATGCCTTTCAGGCGTCTCATCGTCATGCCTGTCAGGCGTCTCATCGTCATGCCTTTCAGGCGTCTCATCGTCATGCCTGTCAGGCGTCTCATCGTCATGCCTGTCAGGCGTCTCATCGTCATGCCTTTCAGGCGTCTCATCGTCATGCCTGTCAGGCGTCTCATCGTCATGCCTTTCAGGCGTCTCATCGTCATGCCTGTCAGGCGTCTCATCGTCATGCCTTTCAGGCGTCTCATCGTCATGCCTGTCAGGCGTCTCATCGTCATGCCTTTCAGGCGTCTCATCATCATGCCTGTCAGGCGTCTCATCGTCATGCCTTTCAGGCGTCTCATCGTCATGCCTTTCAGGCGTCTCATCGTCATGCCTGTCAGGCGTCTCATCGTCATGCCTTTCAGGCGTCTCATCGTCATGCCTGTCAGGCGTCTCATCGTCATGCCTTTCAGGCGTCTCATCGTCATGCCTGTCAGGCGTCTCATCGTCATGCCTTTCAGGCGTCTCATCGTCATGCCTATCAGGCGTCTCATCGTCATGCCTTTCAGGCGTCTCATCGTCATGCCTTTCAGGCGTCTCATCGTCATGCCTGTCAGGCGTCTCATCGTCATGCCTTTCAGGCGTCTCATCGTCATGCCTGTCAGGCGTCTCATCGTCATGCCTTTCAGGCGTCTCATCGTCATGCCTTTCAGGCGTCTCATCGTCATGCCTGTCAGGCGTCTCATCGTCATGCCTTTCAGGCGTCTCATCGTCATGCCTTTCAGGCGTCTCATCGTCATGCCTTTCAGGCGTCTCATCGTCATGCCTGTCAGGCGTCTCATCGTCATGCCTTTCAGGCGTCTCATCGTCATGCCTTTCAGGCGTCTCATCGTCATGCCTGTCAGGCGTCTCATCGTCATGCCTTTCAGGCGTCTCATCGTCATGCCTTTCAGGCGTCTCATCGTCATGCCTTTCAGGCGTCTCATCGTCATGCCTGTCAGGCGTCTCATCGTCATGCCTTTCAGGCGTCTCATCATCATGCCTTTCAGGCGTCTCATCGTCATGCCTGTCAGGCGTCTCATCGTCATGCCTTTCAGGCGTCTCATCGTCATGCCTGTCAGGCGTCTCATCGTCATGCCTTTCAGGCGTCTCATCGTCATGCCTGTCAGGCGTCTCATCGTCATGCCTGTCAGGCGTCTCATCGTCATGCCTTTCAGGCGTCTCATCGTCATGCCTGTCAGGCGTCTCATCGTCATGCCTTTCAGGCGTCTCATCGTCATGCCTGTCAGGCGTCTCATCGTCATGCCTTTCAGGCGTCTCATCGTCATGCCTGTCAGGCGTCTCATCGTCATGCCTTTCAGGCGTCTCATCATCATGCCTGTCAGGCGTCTCATCGTCATGCCGTTCAGGCGTCTCATCGTCATGCCTTTCAGGCGTCTCATCGTCATGCCTGTCAGGCGTCTCATCGTCATGCCTTTCAGGCGTCTCATCGTCATGCCTGTCAGGCGTCTCATCGTCATGCCTTTCAGGCGTCTCATCGTCATGCCTTTCAGGCGTCTCATCGTCATGCCTGTCAGGCGTCTCATCGTCATGCCTTTCAGGCGTCTCATCGTCATGCCTTTCAGGCGTCTCATCGTCATGCCTTTCAGGCGTCTCATCGTCATGCCTGTCAGGCGTCTCATCGTCATGCCTTTCAGGCGTCTCATCGTCATGCCTTTCAGGCGTCTCATCGTCATGCCTGTCAGGCGTCTCATCGTCATGCCTTTCAGGCGTCTCATCGTCATGCCTTTCAGGCGTCTCATCGTCATGCCTTTCAGGCGTCTCATCGTCATGCCTGTCAGGCGTCTCATCGTCATGCCTTTCAGGCGTCTCATCGTCATGCCTTTCAGGCGTCTCATCGTCATGCCTGTCAGGCGTCTCATCGTCATGCCTGTCAGGCGTCTCATCGTCATGCCTTTCAGGCGTCTCATCGTCATGCCTTTCAGGCGTCTCATCGTCATGCCTGTCAGGCGTCTCATCGTCATGCCTTTCAGGCGTCTCATCGTCATGCCTGTCAGGCGTCTCATCGTCATGCCTTTCAGGCGTCTCATCGTCATGCCTTTCAGGCGTCTCATCGTCATGCCTGTCAGGCGTCTCATCGTCATGCCTTTCAGGCGTCTCATCGTCATGCCTTTCAGGCGTCTCATCGTCATGCCTTTCAGGCGTCTCATCGTCATGCCTGTCAGGCGTCTCATCGTCATGCCTTTCAGGCGTCTCATCGTCATGCCTTTCAGGCGTCTCATCGTCATGCCTGTCAGGCGTCTCATCGTCATGCCTTTCAGGCGTCTCATCGTCATGCCTTTCAGGCGTCTCATCGTCATGCCTTTCAGGCGTCTCATCGTCATGCCTGTCAGGCGTCTCATCGTCATGCCTTTCAGGCGTCTCATCGTCATGCCTTTCAGGCGTCTCATCGTCATGCCTGTCAGGCGTCTCATCGTCATGCCTTTCAGGCGTCTCATCGTCATGCCTTTCAGGCGTCTCATCGTCATGCCTTTCAGGCGTCTCATCGTCATGCCTTTCAGGCGTCTCATCGTCATGCCTGTCAGGCGTCTCCTCTTCCTGCCCCTTCTTCCCCTCGCCCCCATGCAGTCCCTCTCTTCTCTCATGCGACCTGTACCTCAGGTCCTGGGTCTCTGACCCACGCCCTCCTCCCCACACCAACACTGCCTGTCCCAACTTCGCTTCGAGTTGCCTTACCATGCCACATCTTCCGTGATCGCCCCTCTTTCACCTGCCCTCTTCCCCCTTCCCTCCTCCCCCTTCCCCCTTCCGTCCTCCCACTTCCCCTCCCCAGTCCCCCTTGCCTGCCACCGCTACTGGGGCGCATGTGTCCCCGACCCCAGCCCTCCTCTGAACACCAGCAACACATGATTAACACTTCCCATTCCCGCTCCCCCCTTCCCCAACGCAGTCCCTCTAACCTGCGATGCGACCTCTACTGGGGCGCATGGGTCCCCGACCCCAGCCATCTACTCCACACCAACACCGCCTTTCAGCTCGCTCCAAAGCGCCTTACCATGCCACGCCTTCCTTATCCGCCCCCCTTCCACCTACCTCTTCCCCTTCCATCTTCCCTCTCCCCTTTTACCCCAACGCAGTGCCTCTCACCTGCGACCTCGACCGAGGCTGATGGGTCCCTGACAACAACCCTCCTCTCTACACCAGCAATACATGTCCCAACACTTCCCACTCCCCTCCCCTCTTTCCCATTGCAGTGCCTCTCGCCTGCGACCTCTACCGTGGCTCATGGGTCCCGGACACCAGCCCTCCACTCTACACCAACGCCACGTGTCCCAACATTACTCGCCACCAGAACTGCCAGGGCAACGGGCGCCCGGACAGCCAGTACGAGCGCTGGCAGTGGCGGCCGGAGGGGGCGGCGTGTGCGCTGCCGCGCTTCGATGCAGAGGAGTTCATGAGGGTTATGCGCGGTAGAGGGGTGCTCTTTGTGGGGGACAGCGTGGCGAGGAACCATTTTGAGTCGCTTGTGTGCCTTCTGAGTCAGGTGAGGGGAGGGGCTGGTGGGATGTGGGGGAGTTCAAGTCGGTTCTGAGGGTTATGACGGTTATCCGTCGTAGAGGGGACAGCATTGCAAGGAACCATATGGAGTCGCTTGTGTGCCTTCTAAGTCAGGTGAGGGGAGGGGCTGGGTCTCTGTCGGGGGTTTACCTGGTCATGAAATTTGGGAGGTTCAGGAGGGTTGTGTGCGGTACGGAGTAATGCGGGTGACGTGGTCTTGAGGAGGGTTATCCAGGGTATGGGGCGACATGAGGCGGTAATGGATACCGTCCAATCCACGGACTCAACGTTTGTTCTTAGGAATTCCTTGGGTTTCTCTCACCTTCATCCCCCCATCTTCTTCTCTTTCACTTGCGCTGCTTCACCCCACCTGCTTTCACGTGCGCTGCCAGGTGGAGAAGCCAGAGTTTCACGGCGGCAAGTCCATGCTTCGCCTCGTCTTCCGCTCCTCTAAAGTCACACTCGCTAGAGTCAACTCCGCATGGCTTGTAGAGGAAGGGAACGACACCGTACCTGACTGCCCGGACTCCATACCTCGCCTGCACCTCGACCGAACCAGCCCCAAGTGGTTCGGCGAGATCGGCAGGTTCGATGTTGTCATGTTCAGTTCGGCGCATTGGTTCGTGAAGCCTTCGATTTACATGGAGAAAGGGGAGGTGATTGGGTCGCAGGGCGGGTGGTGGAAGAGGGATGAGCCGGCGAGAGTTGACAACAAGGGCGCGTTCGCACTCGCGATTCGCACCGTGTTTCGGGACGTGGTGAAAGAGCTTGGGAAGAATCCAAACCGAGTGCTCATCTACCGAACCTTCTCTCCGGACCACTACGAGAAGGGCGAGTGGAACACTGGAGGTTCGTGCGCGGGCCTTACCGAACCTAGAGGCGCCAACTACACCTACAGCAACACGTTCGGGCTCAACTTATACACGAAGCAGCTGGAAGCTTATAACGAGGTCATAGAGGCCGCTATTGAAGCAGGCGCGAGTGTAGACCCGTTACGATTCACCCTCATGGATGTGATGCCGAGTGCGGGCATGAGAGTGGACGGGCACCCAGGGCCATACAGAGGGTTGAATGAGGAGTTGGCTAAGTATAAGGATTCCAAGTTCCCCCCTCAGGACTGCCTACACTGGTGCTTACCCGGGCCGATTGACTCATGGAATGTGTTTCTGCTGCAGATTGTGAAGCGGGGGTTTGCGTCGATTCAGGGGCAGGGGCAAGGGGGGTAGTGGAGGGAGCGAAAGGGTGGAGTAATTGGAGTGTGTCAACAGAAGCGGGTGGTGCTTTCTGGGGCCGATCGACTCGTGGAATGTGTTTCTGCTACAGATGGTGAATAGAGGGTTTGTGCCGATGCAGGGGCAAGGAGTAGTGGAGGGAGGGAAGGGGGTGGAGTGGTGGAGTGGAGGTGCTTCAACAGAAGCTGGTTGTGCTGGTGTGGCCACATGGACCAGAGGAACGGGTTCCTGCTACAGATCGTGACAAGGGAGATTCTGTCGTGGTCAGGGGCAGGAGGAGCTGTAAGAAAATACAAAATCTGCTGGAGGAGGGGAAGGGGGCCTCTTTGTTGAAGTGCTTCAGCTGATTATAGGAGAAATGTTTGTAGCGACGCCACGCCACCTGGCGTTGTATTAAATATAGTTTGGCCCTAAGCTTGACAAGGTAACTGTGGGGCTACAGCAGTGTAATGATAGACTCTAATATGCAGTTTTATTTTATATTGTCATAAGTCGCAAACATGGGGGTGTAGCTCACATGGTAGAGCGATCGCTTCGCATGCGATAGGTAAGGGGATCGATACCCCTCACCTCCACATCGAGCTTTTATCTCCACCACGACCATTGAGTAGAGTTGCTGAAGGAAATTTTGGCCCTAAATATAGTGTAATGGTTGTTTTGCTGTAAGGAAAAACCCTTTTCCTTACAGGGGTTTACTCAACCGCGTACAACCCCAACTTTCGGAAGTGCGCGTTCGGCCACTTTGCTCGCTGCCGAAGCAACCTCGCGTCGCCTTCGGCCTTTCCTTTGCCCAACCTGCACCCAACCTCGTGTTCCCGAGGTTCCCGCCTAGCTAGGTCGACCCACTATATTAGCGCGTGCCTTCATTGTATTGTCAGTTCATTGAGTCACATCTTCGTTATTCGTTATTCCGCGCACTCTCCTTTACAACTCATAACACCTGGTATCAGAGCTACTTTCCTAGCTCACCCCGCTTTTCGAGGGTAGTTTGGAGGCACGGGTGTGGCTGGTAAGGAGATTGCAAAACGGTTAGCTGCAAGGTTCGTTAATTCTAACCTGCCCGACTCCGATAGTTTTTGCTTTCTTCCTGCTTGATAGGCCACGGATACCCCTCTGCCCTCCAGACGAAGCGTGCGACTCATGGACCAGGAGAAGTTGGACGAAATGTTGGCGCAAATGGCAGCACTACAGGCAACAGTGAAGACACTATCGACGGAGGTCACAACACTACGTGCGGAAAACACCGAGCTACGCCAGACGCGAGGTGAAGCGCGTCAGGAGTCGCCCGATGAAGAAGGTGACACCGCCTGCCATGGAGCAAGTGGAGCCGTCACAAGTGGCGAGCTCGCACGAGGCAACGACGAGAGCGAACGACCGGCAGCGTCAGCGCCAGCGACACTTGCAGTTACTACAATCAAGATTAAGCCCGCGAGCCTGTCAAATTATATATGCATGTTTAGGTTATCTAGGCTGTATGGGGGTTAGCACTAGGGGGTACAGAAACTTCCTCGACACTCTAGTCTTGTACCCCAACCTTGACCTAATCTCATCATTCCCCTAGTCTTAAGTCTTGACATGGTATCTAGAGCAGGAGGTCTCTAGGACCTAAGAATCGGGCCCACCTAACTGTGTTACCACCTGCCTGCCTTGCCTACTGCCCGCGCGCGCCTCGGCTGCAGCGCGCGTCACTTTTTTTATTCCGCGCGCGCCACTTTTTTTATTCCGCGCGCGCCTCGGTTTCTAGCGCGCGCGTCACTGCTTTTAGCGTGCGCGTCACTGCTTTTACCGCGCGCCACTGCTGCAGCGCCGCGCGCCGGCCCGCGTCGCCCGCGCAGCCCGCGTAGAGCCCGCGCAGCCCGCCACCGCGCACAGCCCGCCGTCGCGTGCAGCCCGCCGTCGCCCCGCGCGCCGCATCTGTCGCCAGTGCGGCCCGCCGCTGCGCCACGCGTCGCGTCGGCCGCCTGCGCGGCCCGCTGCTACTTCGCGCGCTGCTTTAGGAGCTAGCGTGCGGCCGTTCCTGCCTACTGCCTGCTGCCTCTGTCATTGCTTGTGGCCTGGTGCCTACTGCCTCTTGTCTGCTGCCTGCTGCCTCCTGCCTCTGCCTGCTGCCAGTATGACGACGCCTGACGTTCTCACGTTCGAGCCTGACGGTCGCCCCATAGAGTTCGCTGTGTGGTTAGATGATCTCCAACTGTTCCTTCTGACCGATGCCAAAGAGGGCGTTTCACTGTTCGATTACGTGTCTGGCACTGCCGTTGCTCCTGCTGCCGATGCTCCTGCTCTCGAACGCTCACAGTGGCAGACTCGCGATGCTGCTGCACGCCTAGCTATTAGGAACCATCTGCCGATCACTGAGCGCGCGCATTTCAGCCAGCACAAAACTGCTAAGACGCTGTACGACGCTGTAGTTGCGCGCTACTCCTCCCCGGCCACTGCAGCCATAGGTCGACTCATGCTACCCTACCTGTTCCCCGACCTTTCCTCGTTCACCACTGCTGAGGACCTCATTTCCCACCTGCGCGCTACTGACACTCGCTTTCGTGCCGCCCTCTCAGCCGAGTTCTGCGCCGCAAACCCCCCCCCCCCCCCCCCCCCCCCGATGTACTTCACTCTCTATTTCCTCGTTACCCGCCTCCCTGACACTCTTAGCTCGGTCAGGGACCACTTCCTAGCGCTAGACCCCCCCACTCTCACTGTCGACGACTTCGAGAAGCACCTCCTTGCAGCAGAGAAGAACATCCTCGCTGTAGGTGCTGCTCGTGGCACTCCTCGCTCTCCCCTCTTTGAGGGGTGCTCCCCCTCCCCTCTCACCCCCTCCTACGCCTCCGCAGCTGCTGCTCACGACTACCTTGGTGCTGAGGAGGTCGGGGCTGCTTCCGCTCCTAGTGGGAAGCGTCGCAGCAGCAGGGGCGGCAAGGGTGGCAGGGGAGGTGGGGGTGGCGGTGGAGGTGGCGGTGGAGGTGGCGGCGGGGGAGGTGGAGGTGGTGGAGGCGGTCGTGGGGGTGGAGGTGGTGGAGGTGGTGGTGGGGGCAGCGGAGGCACTGGGAGCGGTGGAGGTGGCAGCAGCGGCGGTGGGGGAGGAGGGAGCGGTGGTGGAGGTGTTGGTCAGGGCCAGCAGCAGTCGCAGCAGCAGCAGCAGCAGCAGCGTCAGCGCCAGACCCCCACTTCCCAGCAGCTTCTTGACTGGTATGCCGGGCGTGGGGCTTCTGGGGGTCCTGGTCGCTGCCCCTATATGATCCGCACAGGTCCCCGCACTGGTCGCCAGTGCACAGGGTTTCACACTGAGCAGCGCTGCTTCGCTCGGCTTAGCGACGCCTGGCGCGCCAAGTTTCCTGATGCTACTGAGTTCCCCAACTGGGCAGACCTGCTTAGGCGTGATGTACCTATCTTTGATCTTGACTATGAGGCTATTCTTGCTGCCATGTATGCATTGACTGTTAGTGCTGAGGGTGACTGCTACTTGTGTGTGCCGCCTGACCCAGGTATAGCCCCAGGTATAGCGCCTGTGGCACTAGGTGCTTGTGAGTCAGCTCCCCCTGGTACTGCGTCCGCACAGGCCTTGCACACCTTCACACTTGACTCTGGTGCTTCCCGCTGCTTCTTTCGCGACAGCACCACAGTCACTCCCCTCCCTGCACCTGTTCCTGTCTCGCTGGCTGACCCCTCTGGGGGCCCAGTGCTTGCACGGTCTTCCACTGTGCTTCCGTGTCCGGCGGTCCCGTCTGGTGAGCGGTCTGGTCTCCACCTCCCCTCGTTCTCTACGAACTTGGTGAGCAACGCCGTCCTTCAGGATCACTGGGTTGACACCTTTACTCCTGGAGGACAGCGTGTGGCGATCTGCACGTGCTCCCGGACCGGCCGTCACCTGGCCACGTTCACACGTGCGCCTGGGTCTAGTCTGTACACCCTCACCACTGCGTCACGCTACACCCCTTTGTCTCCCCAGCTGTACGCGTCTGCTCAGGTAGCTACTCAGTGTGAGTGTCGCCGCCTGTCGCATGACACTCTTCTGTGGCACCACCGCCTTGGTCACCCCTCCCTGCCTCGCCTTCGTAGCATGCACTCTCGCTACCTGGTCTCTGGCCTTCCTGAGTCTCTGCCTGCCCTCCCTCCCTCGCCTGCGCCGCCCTGCATTCCTTGCGTCGAGGGGCGGCAGCGCGCCGCTCCTCACTCCTCCTCGTTTCCTCCCACAGAGGCTCCCCTGCAGACCCTCCACATGGACGTGTGGGACCCAGCCCGCGTCCGTGGACAGGGCCATGAGCGGTACTTCCTGCTGGTCGTCGACGACTACACGCGTTACACCACGGTCTTCCCCTTGCGCAGCAAGGGGGAGGTCCCTGATGTTTTGATCCCCTGGATCCGCGCTGTTCGTCTCCAGCTCCGCGAGCGGTTCCACTCGGACTTTCCTGTCCTGCGTCTGCACTCTGACAGAGGTGGTGAGTTCTCCTCAGACCTCTTGGCAGCCTTCTGTGCGGAGCACGGCATCCGCCAGACGTTCACGCTTCCGGCCTCTCCGCAGCAGAATGGGGTTGCTGAGCGCCGCATTGGCTTAGTCATGGAGGTCGCTCGTACCTCCATGATCCATGCGGCTGCCCCCCATTTTCTGTGGCCGTTTGCGGTCCGGTACGCCGCGCATCAGCTCAACCTCTTGCCCCGTGTCTCCTTGCCGGAGACCTCGCCCACACTGCTGTGGACGGGGAAGGTTGGCGATGCGTCGCGTTTCCGGGTCTGGGGTGCTCGTGCCTTTGTCCGCGATACCACCGCGGACAAACTCTCCGCTCGCGCCATTCCCTGCGTCTTCCTTGGCTTTGTCCCTGACGCGCCTGGCTGGCAGTTTTACAACCCAGCCTCGCGCCGTGTCTTTCCGTCTCAGGACGTCACCTTTGACGAGTCCGTCCCCTTTTACCGTCTCTTTCCCTACCGCACTGCCCCTCGCCCCCCCCCGCCGCTCTTTCTTGCCCCAGGTCCTCCCCAGGTAGACCCCCTCCCCGCGC